TATATATTCCGAAAATTTGTGAATAAACGTATATTATTTTCTATAAAAAAAATCGGTAATTCAAAATATTACATAAAATAAAGTACACCAATCTGCTGCTACTAATAAACTCTCAAAATTAGTTACAAGATCAATTGTTATATAATTAATTGTTTATTAAATGGTAATGAATCAAGCTATTATTAAGCCGTTTAAGAATTTAATATAATTACTGAAAATATTATATCTACTTAATGTAGCGCCACTAATTTAGCGTGCTTCAACAATAATTCTCGAATTACTGCACGTGCTCTGTTTCATCCTCCGTTCAAATGTGTCTAATTAGTGTTGTGAAGTATCTAACTAAACATTCGATATAATTTAATATCCAATGCATTATCATCCTCATTAAATTTAATTATAATTTCACTATAGGGAAAATTTTATTGTTATATTTAAACACAAAAGCACTGTAGGTTTTTATGTATTTTTTTTCTCTATGATGTTATAGAGCTAAAATTTGACCAAATTATTAATATAAACTAATTAGCAGATTGTGGATGCTAATGGTGGGATATATAGCGGCTATTATATGTTTTGAACGTGCTTGATTGGAGATTAATTATAGCGAAATATTTGCAGTAATTAGGTATTAAGCGCAGAATAACGATTTTATTAAATTCCATTTAAATTTTCATCAATATGGCCGGCGTGGATTTTACTGGAATTTTTAATTCCAAGAAAACTGCATTTCTCAGTTTTTCATTTTTTGTTGTTTTTAAATTACGATCCTAACTTTTCCTAAAACAAGCTGCTCTAGTGAAGTTTCAATTTTATAATATTTCATTTTAGACATAAATATGTAGTTCCTCCAATGACTAAAGAATACAAGGAAAAATAACACCCGAGAGCAAATTGTTACGATGTCACCAAACAGTGCCGGGGCACATTTTTTTTCTTAAATTAGCTGCTTGAAGAGATATTTATATTTTTCATAAATGTTTTGACTACGCCTATGGTGTATGTGGTGGTATCATATTCTATTGCCTTGTATTCTTTAGTCTCATTAATTTTCTCATTAATACTAATGTATTAAAGAATGCTGTATATATGCAAAAAAAAATAAAAAACACAGTAAACATGTTTAAAACAGAGTTTTAAGCTGTTTTCCAGGGTTTTAGAGAATAAACAAGTTTACAACAAGTAATGGTGTTTAAAGTATGTAGCCATTAGCCATGCTAAAAAACTATTACTATATATTTCATGATTCAGAAAAAATCCACAAAAATATGTAGGTTTTTGACTACTGACAGTTGACAGTAAATCAACAAAAAATAAGACAATATTTTACACAATGATATCAAAATTATGTTTATATCAGTATCAGAAATTAGTCGCTGTACATTTCGTGTCGCTTTAAGAGCCATTACTTCTGTTCGTATTTCATTGATCTGCACAAAATCTAAATTTAGCAAGCAGGCGGCAGCATTTAGCAAATCTAAGGCAGTCATTTCTAAAATTGAAATTAACAAAATTTACCGTTAGTCGTTGCTAGGCTTAAGTTTCAGTCTAACTTATATCTCGTATTTCATTGAAAACGTGCTTGGAAGTGCTGGAGGTAATATTGTGTAGGAGATAATTTTATTATAAAATCACCTTTTGTAATAAAATGACAGTAAAAGTATGCTTTAATTTTTTCTTTTATTTCTGATAACAGGAGGTATATACAGGGTTGCTCCTATCATACGACGCCGAGGCTCCAAGGAGAACGGTAATTTATATCGAAATGAAATTTTGAGGACTTTAATTGAAATCATTTTATAAAAATATATGGAGTTATACAGGATGTCTATATGGAGTTATGGATGGAGTTATACAGGATGTCTCCTGTAAAAAGGTTACTTATCAAAGTTGTGTAAAACTTGGAAAATAAGTTCGTCATAATAATGCTTTTATTTATTCACTATTCTAATAAACAATATGCATTCCTTCGGAAACTCTCTATTTATTTATCTAATAATGCTAAAACACTCTATTTTAAAGTCGATTAGAGAAAATAGTATGATTCATTGGCAAGTAATGTAAATATTTACGATCCGGTAAAATTGTGATGTAAGAGGAGGCTTAGCTTGTCAGAGGCGAGTCAGTAGTTGATACGCCGGCCGGCTGTTGTGTTGTGTTTTGTCATAGAGCTGATATTTGGGGTTTGAGAGTCTTTTGACTATAAACGTTGCATGTACTGTGAGGCAACGGGTCGTTTGACCATGAGAAGAAAACCTCTTGTGACGTCTTGCCTTCGAGGTTGGTCTTGAGAGTTTGAGGTCTCCCTTGTCTTCTCGATTGACAAGATGCGGCGTTGGGGTAGTGAGGTACCCCAATTAGCCTATTTGATTGGGATGCGAATCTGTATAGCGGCAGAGTTGCGTCCGGAGGAAGCCCCTATACTATTTCAGGTGACACTAGCTAGTTGTTGAAGATTATTAACCAATAGATCCGAATAATATTTGAATTAGATGGAAGATATGAAATGAGATATATTGAATAGAATGTCAGTGATGTCAGTGGCTAGGGGGCGGAGTACCCCCGGGTGAGTTTTACCATTTAACTATCAATTTTATCCAGATCAGTAAATGTTTGTTTTGTTATTTTCATGTACAATGAGAGAGTGCTTGCCAATGACCAACTAAATGGATATTTGAGGTGAATTTGCATTGTGAGACCCGGTTGAGTAAGCCCCAGAAATAAGCGATTTTACAGTTGCGTTTTTTGTAGTGGAACACTCTATATATTAATTGATTTTCGGGTTCAAGGAGAAAAATAATAGTGAGTTTTATTTAAGAAGCATATGCCTAAAAGTAAAGATTTTGACATCGATTCAATTCAAATTTTGAATTGGTTAGTGTAATTACATATCAGGCTATACACCCAAGATTTAATTACAGTAACCCTTGTATGTTAAACCAAATTGAAATTTGAGCCGAAAAGTTATACAGGGTGAGACTTTAGTCATCTACTTCTCTAATAAAACTCACCTTTATTTTTCTCCTAATAGGGCGTTCCATTATAAAAAAACATTTTTCTGGGTATGATTAAATTTTTTTTTAATCATACCATCACAAAAAAGTCATTTTAACACCTAGGCGTATAAGTAAAGCAAGTACGAAAATATATTATTAAACTGACATAAAGTGTCAAATTCAGCGAGCGTATCCATAGTTTCTCGATATATAATTACATACAAGGTATGACTTTTAAATATTTTTATATAATTTGGAACGTTTGAAATTATTTTAAAACTTATTTATGGCGTTTGAAAAAAAATAGCATGTTCTATTCGGAGTAAAAATAACTTCTTGTGCCTCGGCTGTATGTCGCTAACATCGGCTGTATCTATGCTAACCTAACCTAGTCAAACGTACAGCCTCACCACAAAAAGTGTAATTTTTACTCCTAATAAAACAATATTACTATTTTTAAAATCTCTTTTCGTGGCAAAATAGTCATTTTTTTTTCAAGAAACGTGTATCTTTCGTTAAACAAAGGACGCAGGTACATAACGACATTTCCGAGGTACCCATACACAGCTAAAACATTTAAAGTGAGCCTTCACTGTCGATACGCAGGCTAACATGATTGAATTTCATCGTTACGGGTAATCATGTTAAACGCTTAAAATATTCAAAGCTTATCAGCAAACCGTCTAAAGCGAAATTAATCAGTTTAAAAGTGTCCCCATTTCCGAACTTTTCCACTTAACTAATTAGTTCCCGATATAGAGCCATTTCGTTCTGCGGTAGGTGGGTGTAGGATTGTAGATTACATAATCGAAGCAAATTGCCATTAGGCTTTTTGAGGACGAAATATATAGATATTTGTTTCAGCGGCTAAAATTATATTCACTTTAAAGAAAAAATAGGGTATGGACACGGTGAGTTTTATTTTAATATTAGAAATTTGCTATTTTTTATGAAAAATAAAAAAATTAAAGCAATTAGATTTTAGACCTTTGATATTTTGTTTAATTTAAAATAACAACGATTTGAGTAATTTTATAATAAACGGAAATAAATATATTTTTATCTTCCTCTTTGTGATATCCAGTCGGTTATTTTAGACCAGTGATCAGTGATTCCCAAAGTAGTCCACGTGGACCCCCAGAGATCCCCGGCGCAACAAAATTTCCATCGTTAGATCTAATCTTCACATTTTTTTGTTCACAAATGAAGTTTGGAATATGGCAAAGATGCACATATACATACATACTGCCATCCCAGTGAGCAAAGTTTTGTCACATTTAGGGAACATTAGGGAACAGTGACGTATTTGCGTGTTTGTATGACTGGAAAACCCCCATACGGGATGTTGTCTTTCTTTCGCACTGTAGACGTACAAAAATCTCATGGCTTTGTTGCCTCTTTTCTTTTTGGTTGTCGCTGTTAACTGAGTTTACAATTCTTCTCCATTGCGTTCTATTGTGCGCTGCTTCTTCCCCCTCATTCGGCATATTTATCTCCTTTTTTTTCACATTTTTTTATTGCTTCAAAGAGGTTTATATTTTTCTTTTCTATTTATTTATATATTTTTTATTTTTAATAAAAAAAACAACAATAAACCAACACACCCAAAATTGACTTATACTATATTAAGATCGTGAGTAAATGAACCGTACCACAACTAACGTTTTCCTCGATTAGGGCAAATGTAGAAAAAATATCGGAAAAACCTGCGGTCAAAAGAACCATTTTTTGTCGCACGGCCAGTTTGTGCCGGCATGTGGAAAATCGGGCCCCGAATTGAAACTTTATTACCAGTTTTTGCCAGAGTTATTAACGGACTTTTTCGTTGCTTTGTAGCAAAATTGAATACGTGTTATATATTTTTTTTTCCTAAAGTTCTAGATTAATCATTTTATATATGAAACTCACTTCTTGGGGATTGTATATTGATCACATTTTATATAAAAAACATTATCGATGTGTGAAAATGCTTATAATTATTGGAAAATATTGACTCTTTACCAGTTTTATAACAATCTTGTAGAAAATAGGTCAACAGGAAACGCGCTAGAAGCAATTCTGGACTTGAAATCAATCGACTGGCTCGTGAAGGATATGGCCGCTAAGGGTGCCCTAAGATTAAGGGACTCCAATCTGTGGAACCAGACCAACTACGGTCACTCGAGGATATTACCAGTGATAGGGAAAATCATGATGGATCGATCTGCTAGACCAGAAGACGGACTATATGCTCACCAAACATGATTTTGGGGAAAAGATAAGGATTCGCATCCCGACAAGAGAAGAATGGGAAAGCAACCAAGTACTGAACACTCAAGAGATAGCAGTCTACACAGATGCTTCCGCAACTTCAGGAGACACAGGTATAGGCATCTTCTCAGAGGAAGTATACATCCAACGATCTTTAAGGCTCTCGGATGGCTGTAATGTTATACAAGCAGAGGTTTACGCAATACAGGAAGCGGCTAGTTGTATACGAGAGAAAATTGCTGGTAGACCAATAGGGGATATACTCTGACAGCTTGGCCGCTTTAAGAAGCGTCACCATGCAATCAGTGAGATCGAAAACCGTGATGGAATGCCGAAAAGCACTATACTGGCTGCGTCAGGGTGGGGCTACTCTGTGCTGGATTCCAGGCCACAGCAATGTGGTGGGCAATCAGGAAGCAGACAGACACTCCAAAGATGGGACCAGGGAAGAGGCCGTGGCAGATGACCCACCACTTGTAACGATCCACACACTGAAGGAAGCTATAGGAACTGCCCTCAACGCCAACAGCAAGAGACGTGGCAACACCGTGAGGACTGCGCTACAGCTCGAGGACCAGGAGCAGTGGTAGATAGCAAGTACACATAATTGTATATCTCGTCACTGGAAACTTTCCCACGGGGGCAAACCTCGTGAGATGGAAACTTTTCAACGACGACTACTGCAGAGAATGCGGAGAGGAAGAACAAAACATAGAGCACCTGCTGTGCCACTGTCCGGCACTGGAATACCGACGCTTTAAAACTTTAGGGCAAGGTTTTTTGGAGGAACTAGAGGAAACAGCAGAAGCCAACATCAGCGACATCGGGAATTTTGCAAAGTGCTGGAAGTGCTTTAACGCAAAGAAAGAATGCGAGGAAGGTTTGGTACAACAATACAGGGGTATCGATCGCAATGGGCCCAAGGCCTCCGAGTGAGGGATCAAACATGATCCCAAACCCCAGCAACCTAACCTAACCTAACATATATGCTCATATTTGAAGTGAAACTTTTTATTACTTCCGTCTATCTGTCTGTCCGTCTAAAGACTCCATTCGGGTACCCCTATCCACGTGCCGAGTTGGTTCCAATCCAATCCCGTTTCAATCGACCCGTAATTAAAAAAATCCTGATGATTTCGTCCATTTAGAGGCATTGCATCGGTTCGAAATGTCGAGAGGTCATCATCCTGTAACCCGTCCACAATTATACCAAAATCGTCCCACATTTTTCTTCAATATCAAATTGTTACTCCCACCCTGATGTACATAGATGTAAACAAAACATCGTATCCATCTTGCAGGGTTGGGCCGTGTGCATCGTCGCTCACATTGCTTACCCTCCAAATTCAGTCGCTATAGGACGACATCAACTTTTGACGTTATTCTTAAATCTAACTGTCACAGTGACACGCGTCGTGCGCGGTCAAGTTGGCCTTGGTCTACTGTATCGACATACCAAATTTCATTTAAATCGGACGATTTTTTTAGTTGATTCATCGATGATGGGCGTTTCGCATTGTGCGCGAAACGTTGTCAAAATATCATGAAAAGATGGGGCTCTTCGAGCCTCGTCTACATTCAAGTTTCAACCCCCTAGTTCACATAGGGCCCGAGTTACGACGCTCCAAAGACCCACTAAGTCGGACGAAATTTTTTTTTCAAAATATTCCAAATTTTCAAGAATTTTTTTTCGCGAAAAAAACTCATAGACGTATTTCTGGGATAGTATTTTACTGCCCGTAAAAATATTTGCACTTATATAAGACTCACCCTGTATAAAACCCTTTATTTTTACCAGTCACTATCATTAAATAAATCCCCCCTTAAACTTTGTCACGTTTGTTTTGAAACATCCTGTATCACGACCTTGTTTTTAAACCGATTTCCTTTATCTTAATTTCTACTAAATACGCTATAATATTATATCTAATAATCTAACGGAATCCTCTCTGGGGAACTTTATAATCACATATAGTAATTTTCCCTAGTATATCCTAGACCTCTTCAAACAAACTATACTAGCTGTTCACCGCATTACATAGCCACAACATCAAAACCAAAGTTAATAAACTAGAAAATCAAACTAAATAATCCGTTAAACATGCCTGAAACCGAGCAGACAGATGCGAAGTTAAAGGAAGACAAATAACCGTTAGGGTGGGGGAGCCGAACGATGGGAAAAGACGTCAGAACTGTCAAAGTTGTCAAGGGGATCATCGAAATGTAATCAGACTAGTCAGAGTCAGATGGTTTGGATGGTTTTCTTGTGATTTACTGTAAAACTGATTCGAGCAACAGAAACTTTGAATTGGTAATGTTATATTTTGACGATTTATGTTTGTTTCTTTATTTTTGAAATCTGGTAGCTGGAAAAAATAAGTAAATTAAAGGAGATCTAAAATCATTGCTCATCAAATACGCGATTATATTCTAGTTGGTAAAAATGAGGAATGTTATGCCAGTGTCACAAAAGAATTTTAATAATCAGTTTCACATTATTTTTAAAGTATTATACGTTTTATATTATTGAAACTTCATATCATTTATACCGGGTGCGTCTCAAAAGTGGCTCACCCCTATTACTTTTTTATTTTTTCAGTTAAAACAACGAGATTTAGTATGTTAGTATATGACATAAATTAGGACTGATTGACGTATTCAATTTTGTTTTTTGTCACTTCCTGTTTCACCGGAAATGACTACAACTTTAAACTTTTTTTTTAATAACTGATTTTTAAATGGCACCCTCGGTATATTGCTGCTTTATTCGATAGAAAATAACACTCTGAATAGAATGACATATCATATGTCAACTTTTGACACTTTTGCATATGGTTTATTTGAAATTATAACTTGCGGGTCGTAACGAAAATTTGACTCCAAATGAAATACCAAGTGTGTGCGCGTGTGGTATCAAATTATTCGTAAAAAAATGCTTTTTCCAAATATGCTAATGAGCCACACTCCATTTGAAAGAAGAGAATTTGAGATATGATTAAAATTACGATTTAAGCATTTTCTAACTGGCCAGGACAAGACACAACAAAACATTAGACGATCAAATCTATTTTTTCAAGGCTCCTTGATTAAGAATTACTGTTCAACATAACCATGGCACTCTAGATTGAATTTTAAAAAACGATTTTTTATTAAGCGAGAATGTCAAAAGTTGACATATGATATGTCATTCTATTCAGAATGCCATTTTCTATCGAGTAAAGTAAAAAAATACTGAGCATGCCATTTAAAAATCAAAAGTTGTAGTTATTTCCGGTGAAACAGGAAGTGATCAGAAACAATTGAATACATCAATCAATCCTAATTTATGTCATATACTAGCGTACCAAATCAAGTTTTTTTGTCTGAAAAAATAAAAAAGTTATAGGGGGTGAGCCACTTTTGAGACGCACCCGGTATAGAGTTAAATTGTATCCAATTAAATTATTTCGATTCCAAAAATGCATGGTACAATGCAACCAAACTTATATGTAATCACTCTTCATTTCTGACTAAACTTTTTGCAAGGAAAAAAATTGGTATAAAACTTTAAGATAAGGCTTTTCATTGTAAATGCACATGATAATAAAGAATAAACGACTGCTGCGATTTATTTTCTTATGAATTTTGTGTTGAGTAGTAAAATCACAATTATCCGGTAATTTTCATTGGATCAAAAAAAATGCCTTATGTTGAATTAACAGATGTACAGAGGAGAAGAATTATTGCTCAAACTAGCAGCTCTCATTGAACCAGGAACGCACCAACGCACCAAAAAGACGTAGCAGATATAGTAGGCGTTACCCAGGGTGTTGTATCAAAAACATATCAAGGTACTTGAAACTAGGAACTCTCAAGAACAGGCCCAGACAACGTCGTCAAAGAGTCACAACTGAACAACAAGACCGCTTTGTGTGCCAAATTTCTAGAAAAAATCCCAATGTTTCTCATTCAGAGCTACAACGGCAACTTCTGGCAGCTACAGGTGTGAACGTTTCATTGAAACCGTAAGAAAAAGGCTTCGTGCTCGAGGGTGTACAGTAGGAGAGGGTTACAGATGCCACAGTTATCTCGGCAAAATAAAGTTGACCGACTAAATTAATGCTTTCGACATCAAAACGGGACAATTGAGAATTGACAAAATGTTCTTTTTTCGGATGAGACCAGAATTGGCCTATGGTCAGATAACCATCTAATTCGCGTTCTCAGAGCTCCAGGAAGACGAGCGAGATTCTAGGCTGCCAAATCTGTACCATGATATAAAGGAGGAACTATAATGTTCTGAGGAGGTATTATGCTGGGAGCAAAAACTCCATTGTTACCACTGTAACGTTTTTAGTTCGTTACATGTCTTTGATTATGATATATGATGTCTGGGCACAACCCTGTTATGGTTTGGCACAACCCTGTTATGGTTTGGCACAACCCTGTTATTGCTCTGTGGGAGCGCGCGCTGTCAACATCGCTTCTGTCAATTCTCTGTGATCTAACTTCACTTTTGGTTGGACCGTTTGGCCTCTTAGACGCCATTAGTCCCAGTCTTGAGAAATGGTGGTCATTTAAATCTGGCTGTATTATCTGAATCAGCTGCCATTTCGAAGCTACAGGTAAAGCTGAGTTATTTTCCTTTTAGATTCGATATTATTAGTGAATATTTTTAGGGTAGGGTTACGGATGTCCCAACTTGTATTTGTATTTGGCTGGCACGTTGGCTTCCCTTTGCTTTTGTCCTCCAGAATGTCATTTGGAAGAAAGGACAGATTGTTTATTATTTATTGAGCCCTCGGAAGTATTTCGAGGTAGGTTCATTTTGTTTATTAGACGGTGTTTGATTTTAAACAAGAGTTTCGTGTTCTTAGGGTCTTACGGACGGACATTGTCTTACGGACAAGTGTCCAAGGTATGGACTATTTTTCAAGGTCCTAGTAGTGTTCTCTTGTGCCACTATCTTATGGACGGATGTCCCATGGACAAGTGTCCCCAGTAGGATTGATTTG